ATAAATTCCCAAATATTCCCAAACCATCAGAGGCATCCACCAAAATACCTTTCCGCCGCCGCAAGCCTTTGTTCCCGTGAGATCCTATCCCGGGGCCTTTTCCGGCACCCTGCCCGGGGGGGGGGGATTCGATCACGGAGGGCCTCTACATCAACCTTGCTGCCCTTCCGATGAAGCGTGAGTAGTTTACCATAGACCTACGGGTCCATAGCTAGTAGCTAGATGACTTTTTCTCTCTCTTTGATTTTCAATACAATGTTCTCCTCGATGTTCTTGAGATCTATACAATGTAATATTCTTTGCGGTGTGTTTGTCGAGATCCAATGGATTGTGGATTTATGATCATATTATCTATGAATATTATTTGAATCTTCTCTGAACTCTTTTATGCATGATTAAGATATCTTTGTATTTCTCTTCGAACTACCGGTTTGGTTTGACCAACTAGATTGGTCTTTCTTGTAATGGAAGGATAAAAAGATGGGGTTTATATCATATTGCTTGAGTTTATCCCTTTACATCATGCCCTCTTACTTAAGGCGTTACTTCGTTCTTATGAATTTAATACTGTAGATGCATGCTGGATAGCGGTTGATGTGTGAAGTAATAGTAGTAGATGCAGAATCGTTTCGGTCCACTTGACACGTACGGAGAACGGGGACGAGGGCACGGCGAGCGCGGTCTTCTGGTGGCGCCACTAAAGCCGAAGCTCCGGGAAGCAAGAAGGAGGGACACCGCTCGGACGGCGGCAGGGCCCTGCTCAGCCACGCGGAGGGACACGCCGTTCACGTCGGTGTTCCAGCGGGCCGCATGTCGCTGAACTCCTCCATGCTTGCCGCACCACCCCGCTCAATTCTCATATCAAATTAAATCTACCTTAATTGGAGGAGTTGGCCCACATGGATAAGTGGCAGTCTCTTGCCCTGCAGCTGAGCCGAACCCAATCTCAGATGTTAATTTTGGAAACTCTGAATTTTTTTATCCGCATTACCTGACCGGAATTTTTTGGGTAAACCCGAATGCCCAGGCTCACGGAACCCACCCACCCACTCCCCAGTATATGTACCTCTGTAATCAAACCTCAAGGACCTCAATGACAAATAGTCAATTTCCTCTTCCGATACGCCTCTCCAGGGCGCGATTTTTTCCGTCCCCTCTGGCGCACCCATGGCTTCTCCGTATCTCCTTCACCGTCTCACCGCCGACGAGATCTTCCAAACTCTAGAGGCTTCCTCCTCCACGTCCTCCTCATGCTACGATGCCTTCGTGCCGGTGTTCCGCCCAGATCCCTCGTCCTCCTCCCTGTCGGTGTCGGCGGCCGACCGCGTCCGGAGCCAGTTCCTCTCTGTGGAGCGCGACCTCTTCCACGACGCACTCGTCGCACCCCGGAATGACGACCTCGGCTTCCCCGAGGAGAACGATGAGGAGGAGGAGGCCTCGATCCGGTGGGATTGCTTCCAATTGGACGAGGAGGAGGAGCCAGATCTGCCGCTGGAGGCTTCCGTATCAGCCGAGGAATTCGACTGGGAGGAAGTCGCGTTCGCCTCCGGACCCTTGGTAGAGAATCCGGAGCCCGATTGGGAGATGCTCGGCGACATGCCGCCCAGCGCTCCCGCCGGCGCCAACGAGGGTTTCGTGTACACCTCTGACAGGGAGGCCTATGAGGTGCTCGTCGCTGTTGGCGATGGGCTTTTCCTCACCAACAAGCCGCCGGCAGCCAGGTCGGCTGTCAAGGCGCTCCCATCCGCCATCCTCGCCGCCGGCGAGGAAGGGGAGGGAGAGGAGTGCTCCGTGTGTAAGGACGGGGTTGTGGCGGGGGAGCGCGTCAAGATGATGCCTTGCTCCCATCGGTACCATGAGGACTGCATCCTTCCATGGCTTGAGGTGCGCAACTCCTGCCCGCTCTGCCGCTTTGAGCTGCCGACCGACAATCCCAAGTACGAGACCTGGAAGGCTGGACGAGCCATGGCTACCTGAATGAATTGTGCGGTAATGGTAAGCTTTACCCCTATGGTTTTATATAGAGTTGTATGATTTGGTTTGGGATTGATCGGTCTAATTAGGAAACTATACCCAGTTGTATGAAGGAAAACATAGAGTTTGTTGCAGATATGGTTTTGTGCATTTTGATCTGTTACTGTTCGCAAGAGAGATATCTTTTATTTCGATGCTGCAAGGATTATACTCCCTCCGTTCCAAAATAGATGACCCAACTTTGTGCTAAAGTTAGTACAAAGTTGAGTCATCTATTTTGGAACGGAGGGAGTACATATTTAAATGCTATATATATACAATGTTTTATCTGTTCTAAATTTAGAGAGAATAGTTGTGCTGGGAAATTTTATAGATGCATATTTGGACGAGGAGTTTATATGGCGTTGAGTTGCAACTTACTGGTCGTGAATTCAGTTTCAGAACGAGTTATATTTCAGCATTTCATTCTTTTTCATTGTGAGTTTTTAAGGTGTTTGATAGGGAAAGTTATTTGCAAATTCATACTGTGTTCTATCTTGGAACATTTGACAACCTTTTGATACGAAGTGAAATGTGTCAGGCTGAGCGGGTTGTTATATTTTGAGAGGCGAGAAAATTTGCTTATTCAACATTATCTTGTTAGATGTAATGATTGAATGGTGGCTATGCTAGCAGGAGTCTTAGCTGTAAGGAATGCTTCGTTGAAACTATAGTTGCTTTGTTGGGCTCTCTCCGTCTTATTTTCTTTCTTCTTTACTATATTTGTTTATAAATCAAAATGATATTAATTGTTTCTCAAGTACAACCAACAGCTAGTAGAAATTTCTGTGTTTAATGACCCAACACTCAACCTGAACCCAAGTATTGACCTTTGTGTCATTTCACATTGTATGAGATCCCCAGAACAATAACTTCTGGTTTCCATATAAGTGGCTGGGCTTACATCCTGGTTTACTATGTCTGTTTGGTTTATGCCCAAAGTTGTCCCATTAAAACATTGGCTAGCCAAAATTTTGGTCGTCCATGAGCTGTCCGACATTGGCAAGAAAAATGAATTAGGGTGTGTTTGGTTTGTGCCCAAGGTTGCCCCACCAAAGCATTGGCTTGCCAAAATTTTGGTTGAGGTTTTGGTTGCCCATGATTTGGCCAACATTGGCAAGAAAAATGAACTAGAGTTGGCTAGAGTTCATTGGCATGCCAAAAAATTGGCAACCATCCAAACAAAAATCGATCTTTGGGTCATGACCAAAATTTTGGTAAGGTGCACTTTGGCCACAATCCAAACACACCCTTAGAGTTTGAGTGCATTGGCGTGACAAAAAGTTGGAAACCATCCAAACAATGACCAAATTTTTGGTCATGACCAAAATTTTGGTAGGATATACTTTGGCCACAATCCAAACATACCCATACTCCCTTTGTCCCTATTTACATGGCACATACATATTTCGAGTTTCAACTTTGACCATCAGTTTGACTAACAAAACATGTGTCATATGTCAGAAAAATTATATCATTCAATTCATATTAAAATGTAGTGAGGCAGAGGAGAGCTTGTGCCTGGCAGCGGCGACCCGTCTGAGCAACGCGACCTTGCGCCGCTGGCGTCCTCGTCCAGGTGGCCACCGCACCTTGGGCTTCTCCTAGTCTTGCAGGCAGTACCTCTTCCTCTTCCCTGGACCGCCCCCTTTCCGCCAGATTTCTAGCTCCCCTTCCCTGAACTTGCCCCTCTAGTGAAGGACCCCCACCGCGAGCTGTTCTCTTGCTTGGGTTCTTCTTCCTGTGCTCCCTCTTCCCCTTGTTGATATGCTGCTCTGTTGACTAGTGGAGCACTGAAATGTGGTCGTGTGGGTGTGCTGCTAGCTGCTGCTGTCTATTCGTGGTGTTGCTACTGGTAGGCTGCTAGCTCTGCTACTGCTGCTTGCTGTGCTTTGCTGCTGGCTGCTGCTCTGTGTTGTGCTAGTTTCCTTGGAATATGTTGTTTTAGACTTATGAGTATAGTAATATGAGTATAATTGCTTGCTATTTCCCCTTGAAATCTGCTGTTTAGGCTTATACATGCCTTATATGTTTTCAAAACACAAATCTGAGTGTTCTCTGTTCCTTGTCCGCATGGCTTCTGTGCAGAAGCCTAGGTTCCGCTTAAGCGAGCTTGGCACTAGGCAGAGGCAACACACTTGCTTAGCGCCTACTGCTTACTTTTTCCTTGATCCAGGCTATCATCATGTATTAAGGAGGTGTTTGGTTAGGCTTATGTTGGCTGATATGCCAAAAGAACACCTATCCATGGGGTTTTGCCTTTTGGCTTTTGGCTGGATATTGTTACATGATGGTATAAGCCAAAAATACATAAATTGGTGTTTTTTGGGCTTATACGCCAAAGTTAGCCTAGCCAAACACCCCCAAAGCCATCTCAGAGGACACCTCTTAGTTAGGGGAGAATGCATGGGTTGGTTTTGTTAGACCTTGGAATAAAGAAAAGGGAAAATGAGAAGTAAGGGCAGGATATGGAATGGAATGAACAGTGGTATTTTCTATCCCACTCACATGGTACAAATGAACAAAGTTATATGTTACTTTGGGAATCGTCAGTTCTTATATGTGCATAGTTTCCGTTTTTTAAGGTAACCTTGATTTGTAGATGATTTTACGTGTCACTAAATCCCCATGTTTTCACTTGATCTGGCTTTTACCTCTCCTAGATCTGCAAACTCCACAGGTGAAAGTTGTTATTTGGTGCTGGATTTGTTTGCAATACAAGTTACTTTTTTTTTGCATGGTAATACGTGTCTCATTCATATCATAAAGAACAAAGTACAAGTCACATAAAGACCGACATGACAAAACTGAAAAGATAGCAGAACATCTCTGAGATTAATCTAGAAAAGGCGAGGAAACCGGTTCTACTAAGATGCAGACCATCTCTAACCTTTTACTGTTGTACAACAATTTCGGCATTTTTGCTTACTGTTTCTTTCTCTGACAGCCAAGCTGTCATTATAATTGTTGTTTTGCCCTGTTCTTATTAATGCAATGACAGACCACCTCCGAAGTTCGTAGTAACAAAAGGATTAATTCACATGCACACGAAAGTGCATATTTTACATCATTATTCGATGCTACCAGTATAGCTTTTTTTTTTCTGTTGCACTTTGAAGTCTGCACTTACAATCGGATTGCACAAAGCTACGATGTGTCCCATAAATCTCCTGGTGATCATCAGCTTACAACTATGAACTCAGCTACGATGTGTTCTGAGTATATTTTTGACATCATGACCAGCAGCACAATAAAGAGGTGAAAAATTCACAACTGTGAACTGTGAACGTAGCCGGTCCAGGAGTAGGACTCCTCGGGCCAAGTGGGCGGTGATGTCGACCGCTTCCGCGTGGGCGTGGGCTCAGGCTCTGTCTTCGGCTCGACGAAGCGCGGCGGCGGTGGCGGGCCGAACAGCGGAGCGTGGACGGAGTGCCCCGTTGCCGACAAGGCAAGGGCTTTGTCCAGCCCATCCTAGTGGGCATCCTCCTCGAGCTGGCTCGCCTCCAGTGTGTTCGCACACGAACATGTCACCGTGTACCCTCGACGTCGGGGGTGATGCACCGCAGCTCACGTCGAAGGAGACCCACCGGAAGTGCGGTACGCAAGACAATCCGACGGGCGCTTTTGAGGACCCGAAACCCCACAACGCCCGGGAGGGACCCCGTCAGGGCACGGCGGCTATGGGCTGCCCTAGGTCAACCTGATCGCCCCTAGGGCCTCGAGGTTCGCCGCCCTGCAATGAAGAACAGACGAAGAACGAGGAAGAAGAAGAACTAGGGTTAAGGAGAAAAGATAAAAGATAAAAAGTGGTAGATGATTTTGTCGATTGTGTGTTGTTCAATCGGCCGTCACCCTTTAGATATATAAGAGGCGGCTGGACTTCCCGTGCAAGGAAAAGGCTTGGATTCACGTCCAAAACCCTAGTCAAGTTCGGATTGGTTTTGTCCAAACTTTCCAAAACTGTTCGGTTTAAACTGGTTGCACCTTGCGAGTAATTTTTGAGGTGGTAAACGATCTTAGATGGAAACGAGCCTAAAAGCAATCCTGACCGTTTCGACGAGACGAACAACTTTCATGTTGAACGTGTTTTGATTAGAGGTAATCTTGAGGGTCAAATCGGTCGCGCAAAACAGGCTATTATTCGCGCTACCCATTAGACAGGGTGTCTGGTGGGGCGCGTCAGTTTTTGCCTCCTGACAGGGCTCTATTCCGATGGCTCTAACTTTTGCTTACGAACTCGGATTTGGACGATTTTTATATCAAATCGATTGTTTCGACGAGACGAAGACAATCTGTGTAAATCATTTTTCCATTTGAGGTCATCTTCGGGGCTTAATCGTCCAAACTGTACTCTGAATATAAGATCTTAGTACTTTGAGCATAGTTTCGGCATTCGAGATGAAATCGGACGGTGATGACCCAAACTTTAAAGATGTTCATATTAACAATACGGAAATCTTTCATGAAGATCACTTCTCCATTTAAGGTCATCTTAAATAAGTTCTTGAGCGTGCCAAAATCTGGTGTCAACACATGCCCCTGTTTTTGGCAAAGCTTGTGTGCCGAAAAATAACTTGCACATAGCTTGCTTTAAGGACGATGTCAACACTCCATCGACCATTTTGCATACTAGATAGGAAGTGCGGCTTGCCGCACCCGGCAGCAGTGTTGCCGGGCACTGTCATATCCAATCCGATAATACAACTATAGTATATGACAATCCGATAATACAGCTATAGTACAGAATCCTTTTCTATGAACTGGCCCAAGGAATATTTAGATAGAAATCAACTGCATAAAATTTCTCGCGCGTACAGTGCCATACACCAAATCAATTCTCGCGGGTGCCTAACTCAACTTATTGTCCAAGCGCATAAACAATGTATTAACCATTGCAAAGGAAAATTAGAGTGATTGCTCAAATAATGGATCAGTCCAATACAATAAGGTTGCATCAAAAGCATGGCATTGCCTTGATACATTGTAGAGCAATTTGTCCAAACAATGACAAAAGGTAAGGCCATCAAATATACGAGAAGCATGAAACATTAGATCTAAAAGTTCATGACAAATGGGGGAATACGTAGTATGTTCCAAAAGTAAGCCAAGCTGATGGATCAACACTAAGTAGATACAATAGTTGGCTTATTACATAACCAAAGCGAGCCAGATCAACAGTGTGAGATAAGTCCAAGCGAACGCTCACAATGAACCTATATAGTTCTGCTAATGCATCATTGTTTAGCAGATGAAATCACAGGAAACATTTGCATGGATAGTATGATGACAACCTTGTAACCAACCTTGTCAAAACAGGTAGACAACGAACGACACTTTGCCCCTTTTAGCCTTGAACGCAAAGACATTCTCCAAATTATCCAACCCCTGTCTTCACAAAGTCTGACCAATTAGTTGTTATCCCTTGATGAGTGGGACCTTCGCCTTGGTGCACCCACATGCAAGTTTAGTCCACATGGTCCTGATGTTCAGAGTCTGCAAGGAAGCTAGATTAATTCTCTCTGAGATGGATATATTTATTAGCATAGTTATTTAAGGAAATCCTAGGAATAGCAGATAGACATGGCTATTTTAATAAACAAAAATGAACAATGGATTTATGAATAAAGTAGAGCAGTAAATACTGAACAATGAATTTATTTGAAAAAACAAAGTGAAGATGCTATCATGCTAATAAAGAACACTAACATCACAGTAAATATAAACTGCCCTGGAACCGCCAATGGTTGGGCAATGCTGAATAAAATGCCCTGGAACCCGACATCTGTAGCAGGTATATCCAGGTGGAGGCGTCTGGTTTTCCTGTGGGCAATGTTGAATGAAATGGCCTGGAACTCCGTAGCTGCGGCACACATAGCCGGGTGGAGGTGCCTCCCTTTCTGATGATCCATGGCCTTCAATTTGAAAGATTTGTCAAACAGAGCACATGTTAAACAGTATTCTGAACACATTCACAGAACAACACAAGCATATTGTGCAGCGGTATAGTTCACATATTCACAAAAAACCATGAATCTATCAAAATTTGTATGAAAATCTGCTAGAGTTCAAAGGCTGTCTAATGGGCTGGAAACAATTGTCTAGTTACCATCAAAAAAAGATCCAATTGAAACATGGTCTACCGTGCCAAAAAGAAAATAAATCTGGTGTCCGCAAAGCTTGAACACCTACACACTCTTTTTCATCATAACAATGGCTTTGATTTTTAAGAGAATCTTTTCAGATTATCTGCTAGCATAATCATAACTCAAAAGAACATGACACTGAAGACAGGGAATTTCTGCATTACCATTATGGCGTCCTGATGTAAACCTTCCAGGAGCTTGTCCTCTCCTAAATGACTGCTCTTCCCTGCATGCACCATTAAATATGATCATCAGAAAAGGTACCAAAAAATCTAGCTGCTGACTTATGCAAGAAGGAAATGCTGTATTCTAACCATTTAAGTTCAGCTGCATCAATCACAACTGCAATTGCAACATCTTCATCTTTCACTTCTGCGGAGGAACAAGATTTTGAGACTGATTCAGTAACCACTGATCTGTTTGAAGCTAATGAGCCATCTTCTATGACTTTCCGCCTGCAATTAGTGGTACAATATTAGCATATGCAAAAAAAACATCTCCTTAAATTTCACATGTAATCTCAGTTCCATCCCTGAAATTTCCTACTATGAATCAGAGCATGAGAGTGGGGGTGGACAACCAGAGCATGAGAGAGGGGGTGTGATACCTTCCGTGGAGCAACGGCGACCCGGGAAGAAGCAGACCCGGAGGAGCGTTGGTCTTCCCTCCTGTACGCGGTGCACCTGCGCGCATGAATCAGGGAGAGAGTGAGAGAGGGGAGAGGCCAAATCCAATCGAACAGAACAGAGCAGAGCAGTGCGGAGGTGGGGAGGAGAAGAGGGACCTGCCGTGAGAAGGAGCTCCAGGCCTTCCATGGTGTGTTGTGGGAGCTCCATGTCCATGGAGAAGAAGCACACGGTCACTCCATGGGTGCCGGCGCCGTGGCTGTGGATGTGGATCCGGCGCCATCGCGGGAGCAGATGAAGGGCGGCGCCCCCCAAGAGAGAGATAGAGAGGGGGGAAACTCCTAGCTAGTCTCCCTCCTCGCCTGCTCGGTCGCGCCATGGCTGAACTGGGCGCAGCTCATCGGCGACGGCCAGAGCAAGGCCGGATCTGGGCGCGCCGCCTGACCAGCTGAGTCGCGGTGGATCTCCCTCCATCTCGTCTTGTCTTCTCTTCTG